CATTTATCATCTCAAATAATTTATTTATTCTAATTTTAAATGTTGCAGGATTCTTATCAAAGATAAGGATACTTGTATCATCTGCAAATAATATTGGTTTGGATAGGTCAGATATAATTTTTGGTAAGTCATTTACATATAGTAAAAAGAACACTGGGCCTAATACAGAGCCCTGAGGCACTCCGCACTGTATTTCTTACCATTCAGAACAACATTTACTCCTGTTTCCATACAAAATTACTCTCTGGTATCTTCCTCCCAAATAGGATCTTATAAGTTTCTGAGCAGCTCCTTCAATTCCATAAAAGTCCATTTTTGATAGCAATATATCATGATTTACTCGGTCAAAAGCCTTACTCAGATCAAAAAAATTCCACCCGCTATATATTTGTTGTTTAAAGCCCAATAAATATTCTCCATTAGATTATAAGTAGCTAATGTAGTTGAAGAGTTTTTTCTAAAGCTGAATTGCTCCTGCGTTAGCAGGATTTAATAAACGGGAAAGGATATGGAAGGAAGCATCATAGCTAATTTGCAGTATTATCCTGGTATTGCTTGGAGGGACTGACAAAAACCATTACAAACCTCACCCAAGGTCACCATTCCCCTGGTCAAAACTTGAGAAATACTACCCATTTCATGACACTGTAGTGTGCTGTGTGCTACTAATGAGTCTACTTTAGGATCTGTCTATACCTGTTTATATAGTTCATGGTTGGCTGTTTTCACATCTCTTTGTACATGGGAAGTCCTTTTGATTAGCTTTGTAATAAGAGATTTTAATCTACAATCACTGAACATCAAGACCAATCAGGTATGCAAAACTGCACAGGACATATTTAAAAAATATGTGTATTCTAAACTTGAGTTCATCTTAAAACTTCCGTTTTCATGTTCAACCACAATTATTATTATTATTATCCTCCAGTTAAACTGGTGCACATACATGAGACAACTTTGTACCCACATACTTTCAGAACACTGTTACAACTTACATTATCTCTGGAGTGTTTATATTGTGAGCATATGTATATGATAATCAATTTCAAGAAGCAGAAACACAAGCCTAGTTTACTGCTGCATCATTTAATTGTATTGCATTCTGATGCTGAGGTGACAATTAATTTAATTGCCCATTAAATCAATACATTCTATTACACTACAGTTTGTGTGGAAATGGCAACCGGAATAATTACAAATGTTAAATTATTGAACACTATCGCTTTCAATACATTTTAAAAAATGCAATAAATCACGTACATCACAAATCAAAAGAATAATATAATAACTCTTACCACATGCATGGCTAGTAAGTCCGTCCTCACCCTCTCAAGTTCAGTTTCACGTCTTGCTGCTAGTATAACACGACATCCACACTTATAAAAGGAATGTGCAAGAGATTCACCCAATCCAGAACTAGCTCCAGTTATCATAACAACCTGAAAATATTTACAAAATATATACTCATATGACAACAACAAAATTTTCACTATAAAACACTCCAAACAATTGTTTTAAATATACAAAATCTAAAGGATTTCAACAGCATTTCCTATTAAAAGAACTACTTGCAGAAAGGAACATTTAGATAAATGTACACATCACATGAGAGTCAGTAATAGGTCACAAATGGATATGAAAAGTAAAACATGCAACATTCGACCTGGAAAAAAAAAACATTTCTCAACACATCCTCCACCAATACTGACACAACTGTCCCATCGCTTTACCAGTGCAACAAATTCCACATCACAGAAGTCTTTTGACTGCTGTCTCAGCCACTTTTGCACTTCCGTTTCAACCTCTTCATCAGTAATCAGCAAGGTGGTGTTTCAGGGCACCAAACAGATGAAAGTCACTAGGGGCCATGTCTGGGCTGTACGGCAGATGTTCAAGAATTTTCCACTGTAGTTCTCGAATTCTCTCCTGGCTTGCTTGGGCTGTATGGGGTCTGGCATTGTCATAATGAAGCAGTACCCTCTTGCCAGGTGATCTGGATCCCGAAGATTCAATAGAACTTCACAATATGATGCAGAATTCACAATGTCATCACCCTTCTGAAAATGGGCTAACAGTACTCCCTGAGAATTCCAAAACATTGTAAGCATAACCTTCCCAGCTGATGGCATAACCTTAAACGTTTTGGTTGAACAAGAAGGTGAACTGGGATATTTCCATTGCACTGAAGTATCCATTGATTCTGATTGGTAGTGATGCACCCATGATACATCCCAAGTAACAATCCTGTTATGCATATCTCATCCTTCATATGCATACCATAAGAGATGTTGCAGGGACAGACCCATTTGGTTCATTTTCCCTCAATACTTCATTTCTCTGCGCACCCAACATGTGCACACTCTCCAAAATTTCAAATGATCTTGCATTATGCTGTATGCTAAACTATAAGTTGATACACTGTCTATTATTATCCTCCTGTCAGCTCAAATCAACTCTTCCACTCACTGCATAGCTGCTGCTTCTGTCACAGTCTCAACAGGGGGACCTGGTTGGGCATCATCTGCGACTTTTTGATGTCCTTGAGAGAATTTCTCAACCCAGCTGTGAACAGCTTTATGTGTCAAACATTTCCCACCATAAACAGGAAAGATTTCTTTAAGAAGATCCTTTGCACTGAGTCATTTTGCCCAGAAAAAAGCACAACTGAATGCTGCTCTTTGGTAGGACGCCATTTTGACTACTGAAAACCAGCGTCTCAACATGCGCATATGCATCTGATACCTAGAATATTTTATTAAAAAAAAAAAAGAATCATGTATATACAATAATGGCCTAAGCAACGCCCATCTGGCCCCACTACCTACACTGTCATGAGGCCAGACTGTGTTGCTACCTAGTGATACAAATAGAAAACATATTACATCCATTACAGCTGTTTTACTTCCATTTGTGACCTATTTACTGACTCTCCCTCATATGTATGTACATAGGTACATGTGCATGCATGAATACAACATAAAGATATGTAATATGCACATTTTAATGTCAAATGTTACAGTTTTTGTCACACCTTATCTCGAAGATGACACCTCGCACGCCTTGAATGTATATTGCCAAACAACTGAAAGATCAACCATGGGATGGCTATAGGTAGAGAAATGCACCCTATTATCCACCAAAGTAAGGACCAGTTTTCTTCACTGTTCTGCTTCATATTTTGGGCTTCTGAACTATAACACAGAACAAAATATAGTGAAGTAACCAGAACGACTTTCTGTTCAACATGTGACAGAACTGGTAACTTGGTACATATTGGAACATACAATTTCAAGCATTGTATAACAATGGCATATTTTTTTTATGACAGCAGTGTTTTACTGAAGCAGTTTCCTATTCCTTTGCCTCCTTCCCTATGAGACAAAGTCTTTCAACTGGAGATTCATTAAACATTTACTGAAACTGCCACAGACTTTCACAGAACACTAGAAGTTCAAGAAAATGGAAAAAAATGTGACAACTGAGATATTTTTCTATTAGGAAGGGAAATGTTAAAAACAGAAGATGATCTGGCCATACAGGGATTGTTTACTGCTTGAAAACAATTTGGGGGGGGGGAAGATGTTGCACATTTTGCTTCCAGCAGAATACTCAAGATTCATAGCTGGTCTGTGAATATAATGCTTGTATTAGCTGCTTCACAAGCTGAAACTGTTGGCTGCAGTGATTGTACTGCTATAAGAAACAAATCACTTTCAGTATTACATGATTTCAAAACTGCAATTCATTGACTGTATTAGTAACAAATCTAAATAACTTTTAATTACAAGTGAACTCGCTAATGTGTCACCTTGTATGTATGTGTGTAAGGGATGGGCCATAAAATCCAGCCCTCCCACTGCAACCTTCAATGATCTACTGTGCTTCCCCTTTGGATGAACCCTTTAGCAATTCTACACTTTTAATGAAATTTAGGACTTTATTTATGGGGGCGTCATAAACGTCACTTGGTTCCATGAAGAACTGACCCAGGTGATGAAATCTTAAGTAAGCTATGGCTTCACATTCACACAGGATGTGTGGCTGATTCATCTTATTGTAGGCACCTTTCACAGGTTGGGTCATCAATGTGTCACCTTAGTATAACTTAAGTTGTATAACTAACCTGACATTTATTTTTCATACAATCGGCTAGTTAACATCTTCAATCAAGGAGCACGTTTTGTATAATACTGCAATGCTTCGAAAAATTTTCAAAGCTGAATAATAAACTAACGATGAACACAATTTATAAGACACATTACACTGTCCAAGTGACTATGCTTTCTTTAGACTAATGCTTTGCAATTACTTTCATCGTCACTCATGCCTCCCACTATGCCCTTATGAAGCGTCACAGTAATTTATGAAACCTATGGGCCAAGTATGATAGGCGTATTAGCATGTACTGTAAAAGAGAAGCCTGAAATATTCCAGCCTTAGACATGAAATGGTGATACCGGTTTCACCTATGAACATCGTAATATGAAGAGCTTCAGCCTACTACGAGTATGTAATCTTCCCATTTTCATACACCTAACTTAAAATTAAGATATACGTTAACTGCACCATATCATAGTTGAAAATCATAGTTGTTTGTATATATAGATTCCTAAATAGTAACAAGGAAATTTTCCTTTAATTATTAGAGGAAACCTTAAACAAGGTTCAAATAATGGGGTGTCTCTTACTGTTATGTGGGGATTGGAACATAAATTTACTAGAGGATAATACCGATCAGAAGACTTTACAAAGTCTACTGTTATTAAATAATCTACAAAACACGGTTTTATGTCCAACCCGTGTTACGTCAGATACTTGTTCCTTGCTGGATGTTATGTTCTGAAATAAAATTCTTTACCATTCAAATACAAGGGTCTTAGAAATGGACTTTTCTGATCATTTTGCATTGGTTATGAGTATATTTCTTCACAGCCCTTCTACCTGTTTAAAATAATTGATAAAAAGGATTTTTTCAAGAAGAAATATTGCAAATTTTAAGGATCAACTACAAATCGAATTATGGGATGAGGTCTATCTTCAATCTGATGTAAATAGTGCCTATTGTGTCTTCCTAAGTAAGTTTCATAAGTATTTTTTGCACTTTTTCCCTTTAAAAAAGTTTTTAACAAGAAATGGAAAAAATCAAACTGGATCACACAAGGGATAAAGGTGTCTACACAGAGGCTGCAACTATTAGGTTTCTTGAAAAGGAAGATGTCCCTGTCAGTTCACACTTTGAAGTATATAAAGAAATATCAGAGAATTTATAAAAAAGTAATTCTCTTGCCCGTCAAAGAGAAAATGACCGAATTATTAAAAGGTCAGTCAAAAATTCAAAAACTCTGTGGCAAATAATAAAAAAAGGAGTCAAAAAATAATTTTACAGAAATAGACTCTAAGTTAGTTACAAACCCACAGGATGTACCCCAACAATTTAATGAATTTTTTGTAAATAGCGTAGACAAACTGATACATTTAAATAAAAATTGTAAAACTGACCATGCCACTACAAATGATGCGATACAAATTCCAAATGTGTTATTTCTTGCCACTGTTACTGAAGAAGAGGTTCTTCAGGTTACTAGTACTCTAAAAATGAAAATTTCAGCAGGTTATGATGAAATCCCAGATATGATAGTTAAACAATGTATCCAAACCATAAAAAAAAAGCCTTTGGCTTTTATATTTAATCTTTCACTAAGTTCTGGCATCTTTCCAAATCAAATGAAGACTGTAAAAGTTCAGCCCATTTTTAAAAATGGTCAGAAACAAAATTTTGCAAATTATAGACCAATCTCAATTTTGTCTGTTGCTTTTTAAATCTTGAAACATTGATGTACAACAGAGTTGTAAATTTCTTAAATAAATTCAATCTGATGTCAAATGCTTAAAATGGTTTTAGAAAAAATAAATCCAGGTTTATGGCAATTCAAACTTTTATTGGTGAAATTCAGAAAACTCTACATAATAAACAACAGGCCTCTGGTATATTTTTTGGATCTATCAAAGGCTTTTGATGTTATTAATCATAACTTGCTGCTCGCAAAGTTGGGACCGTATGCACAATAGATCACTGTAGGTCGCGGTGCACGGGCTGAGGAGGCCTACCCCTCATTCATTCATTCAAGTTGGAACCGTATGGACTGAGAGGAATATCTCATATATGGATGAGATTGTATCTTACGGATAGATCCCAGTTTGTTGAAATTCACTATATGGCTCAAAAGACTTCTAAAATGAAGACAGTTACCTCATCCCTTAAAACAATTAAATTTGGTGTACCTCAAGGTTCTGTTTTGGGACCTCTTTTATTCCTATTATTTATAAATGATCTGCCTTGAGTTATACAAAATTCAGAGGTAGTACTATTTGCTGACGATACAAATATATTGATTACTGGAAAAAATATTTTATCATTAAGTGAAGAAATTCAAAATGTAAAGAATCAATTAGAAAATATATTTTATGAAAATCGTTTAATAATAAACATGGATAAGTCAAAGGTATTATTTTTTCGGGGAAGCAGATCTATTCCAACTACCAAACCCCTTTTTTATATAAATAATGAGGTGGTTTGTTCAGTGGATGTAAAATTTTTGGGTATTTACATTACTGAAGATTTAAGGTGGGCAACCCACACCCAATATGTGTGTGTCAAAAACTTAGGAAGACTACCTATTTGATAAAATCACTAT